AATGGACCTAGGTACGATATTAACATATTAATATCGGGGGGTCTATAATAAAATATCGATATCGTAAATATAATAACGATAAATTATCCTCTTTTTAATAATAATCGATGATTTAACGATTATTAGTGTACGGATATAAAAAACTATAAATTCGTTCCCGGACTAATAAAAGTACTTAAATTTAAAACCTACTAATAATACTTATACTAAATACTCTAAATTTAGCTACTACTTGGGCTCGTACCGATTTCTCGTAAGACTATAGTCTATACTAACGTTCTAGGTTATTGCCCTAAGTTTTTATTATAGGAAGGTCACGTTTTGATCATGTGACCTACCTCGAGGATAATTCTCTCTAGAAAACCCCTGAAAACCCCTAAAAACCCCTGGAAAAGACCCCTAAACGACCCCAAAAATAACTAATTTTTGGTACAGAATATCGATTATCGTCACTTTTTAGACGATAATTATAGGTATCGTAGGAATAATTTATCGCGATATATCGCGATAAATATCGTCATCGTGCCCAGGTCTGGATATGGATGTTGACTAATGTCCCGCTAGCCCACGCTCTCAATCACTTGAAGTCAAGCCATCAGACGAACGTTCTTTTGCTTTCGACAGTATGTGGGCATTTGATAGTAACATTTGAACAAACAATTAAAGTTCGGATTTCTGGAACTTGTTTTCAGGCTGATGTCACAAGCAATTGCCTTGGTCGCAATGAACGCATCAGAGGAGAATACTTACCGGTCATTTATGAATCATTTTAAGTGTCCATGCTAGTGGAATTGAGCAATTCAAAGTCAAGACTACTCCTACACGTAAATTAAGGGAAACAATATTCCCGCGCTCTTCTCGTCCGAACCTTTTTAGGTTGATAGAGTAATTACTGTCGAACTCTCCTCTACTGTCAAAGGAGAGTAATATTCAGATAGAATGCGAGGAATGAATGAGAAGCTAACTATACGAGTAAGGAAGAAAACCTTAGCGTGGTGGGAGGATATACCAGAGAGATGGATAAATAAGATTGCCTCTAGGCATATTGAACACCGCGATGTTTGCCTCCATCAAATCGCTTTCCCCGTCTTTGACTAAGTAGTCTCCTTCAACGCCATTATCAACGATTACGGCGGGAACTGCTAGACTAGCCGAACTTGTGACTGGTTTGTGGTGGGTTAACTGGAGGGTGTGTAGGCAGACTACCATCAGAGAACTATAGAACCTTTACATCTTGCTCTTTACTTGAAGACCACTGAATTTCTTTTGTTTATCAGGCTACCTGTAACACGGATGAGCTCAGAATCTACGTGGGTCATATACTGAAATTCCAGCTTATCAGCCCTCAATTCACATATTTCTAACATATGCATTTCCTTCCTTTAACTATCCGTACCAATTACTAGAAAATCTCGCGAGACCACCTTCGCACCAAGCATCCTACAAAAGATGCTTTCTACGTTCGATCATTAATTGAGTAGGTTACCAAAATCCCATAACCTAGTTATTTTGAAAATTGATTCCCAATTCTTTAAAATATATCTCAAGTACCTAGTTGAGATGACATACGCGTATTTTTGGCTAAGACTCGAGGTGATGAATTTCGCTTATATACCTTACCGCTTACCTTACGCACGAAACAAAAACGAAGTTTAAGAATCAAGAGAACAAGCAAGACCTCTAGTAGAGCTAGTTATTAGATTCTAATCTCTCTATTAGCAAGCCCAGATCGCGATTAATCTCTTCCAGGGCAAAGTCCGTTGTTCACCTACTCGTTCTAAAACATTTATCAAGATAGAAGCCAAGGGATCAAATCCGAACTTTTATAATTTGTCGAATGTTAAATTGCTGTCGAAAGTTCAACCTAGATCCCGTAAGAAATCTTTCTGTTTGGTGTAGTAATCCTCAGTTAAGACGGTAAAACCCCCTCGAATTCTAAGGTCGGTTAGCCATTGCTTGGCCTCTTTATCGACTTTCATGATCAGCTTGTTGACTTCCTTGGGGCTTTTGGCCCAGGACGGGGGTTCTTAAGGATGATTTTCAGACGAGGAAATCGAGAAAAGACATAATACCAACGCCACAAAACACATATCCCATAAAGTCCAGATAGCTCCTATACAGCTTCAGGATGAGCTAGGGAGAGTTGATGTCCAAACTCACTACTCGCAAGTCTCTGTTGATAGTCGATATAATCGAACCATAATCATAAAATGGACCAAAAGGTTGACTATTCTACCACAACATAGCATGGAGCCACTGAGGAAATTAGACCATGCCTTTGCCTACACATATATTTTAATATCGTTGATAGCAACGGCAACTCTTCATTCAACCTTCGCCTCCAGGTACTGTAATGACCGCAATGGAGCTCTGGAACCAAGAAGCCTTTTTGTAAAGAGAGTTTAAAGGCGCAATACTTCCTATGGGAGTCCTTGCTAAGCGGGTTACTTTAAAAAGGAGCTTGATGAAGTGGCTAACGAAAATAAGCCCTCGGCTCTTTATGTTCCGACTAATTCACTTGAAAAGTGTATTAGACATGCAAGAAGCCCTTGTGCTAGACCTTCTCAACAGCTTCAAATTGTTGACGGGACTTTAGCTTGTTGTCAAATGGAAATCTATAAGTTAATCGTGAAAAATCTGAACTTCCGTAATTCGTCAAGGATCTACTATCGAACTCCCCTTTACTGTCGAGAAAAAGAGTAACATTCAATTAGTTGTATGATTCACCGCCATCGAGACATCCGCCTTGTGAATGGATATTCTAATGCTCGCCGTCTCGTACTAAGCGAGGAAATCCAGTTTTACTGTTCGGAATCGTGAGGTCGGAATCGTGATGTCTGGAGTATTTGATATTTCAACGCCTTTTACAAGACAGCAACTTGTGATTTGAGATTAGTGACCTTTTTATATAGACATCTAGATTTAATTACGACATTTTTTTCTTTGCCCCCGCCAATCACCTCATCTGAAGATTAGAGTACGATTTCCTTCCCTTTCCCTTAGAGTCTCTAGAGGTGGCTTCTTCGGTTTAACCAGCAACCTTAGACAACTCGTTAGGATACATTGTTGGAAAAGCTCGTTTTAACCCCCGGGGTATATTGTTAACCATGCCCTTTATCGTATTGGTCAACTTTATGTTATTAGATGACTTTTTTCCTTTGGGTAGTACATGTATAAATGCCGCGAAAGAAGGAGAAGCACCTAAGGATCCTCCGTTTTATTAGAGCACGGCATCTTCGGTAGCATCATCGATGGTTACCGAATATGCGATCCATACGGTATCCTGACGTACGTAGAATGAAAGAATACATAACCCTAATATATACCAGTACTATAAAACGAATTCCTAACGTGATAGATTTTCCCAGAATCACTGTTTACTTCGTTACAAAGGTGCTAGCTCCCGATTAACCTGTGATGAACTTGAGTGTTTCGGGCTGCTTGATTATAGATGAGCTCTATATATTAAAGCTTCCCTTTATATTAAGCTTCGAGTTTTACTTTAATTCTACCTCTTTATTGTACTAAACCTAACAATTCGCCTTTATTAATTAGTAAATAAGTCCCTCTCTTCTTCTGTTCCACTTACCACTCTCGAGATAATCCTCATATTTGGAGCGTGGAGAAGACTTCACCCTATATCTCTTAACCCTCTGTTCAGTAACGAATGAGAGAAGTGGCTGCTATATCGAGAACATGCCCCCTCCCACCCCCGTTTCATTCTAGCGAGCGACCGTATAGATGCGCCAAGACTACAGCCTGAAAATCTCTCTTCTACTTCACTCGACTTATACATGTTACTTCCTAGAATCCTACTCAGTCTTCACTCAACAACCTACATTTAACTCCAAACTTCTACAATTTGTCGAGATAACACTTACCGTCGAATTTATACTAAACATTCGTACCGGAAAACGTAGCTGGATGGAAAAGTGAGGACCACCATCTATGAATTTCAGTATAGATCGATCTCCTTAATAACTCCGTGCTATGTTGTGATAATACAAGACATACCGATTACACCTTCTGATCCAATCCATCTTTGGTTCCACCTGATGGACAGAGACTAAAGATCACGGCCTACTTAACAACCATTTAGGGCTTAGTCATCTTTCTGAACTAGCACACTGACAAAAAGAATTAGATTATATCAATTTGGATATTTGTACAGTACATCGGTTGGAACTTGAGTAAGGTTACGTTTTTATAAAAATGAGAACATACCAGCCTTGAACTTGACAGGTCAAAGTCAAGTTAACCTTGAGTGATTACACCTTACTCATGGATAGCAAGGTTTATAGAGAAATTCGTGGGTATATAAGAATGAAAAAAGAAAATCTATAATCGACAAAGAGTACCATATCTCTCCGCAATACCCAGAGTTTCTCTTCTTAAATCCCAACACCTTTGCCAAGAAAATCAAGGGAAGAGAGAGACAGGAGTGTATGAAAGGGTGAGTATATAGGTCCACTCGTCTATCTTCATATCTTTCTCTACGCCTTCACTACTTACGGACAAGCGGCAAGCCCTACACTCGGCATGAAACCCTGATCACTAAACAACGAAGCTAAGCAACATGACCATTTCCCTCCCCTGGGACGATCTCTCTCTCTCTCAAATACTACAATACCCCTTAAGAACCTCTCCATCTATATAACAGAATAGGAATTTTTCCCATCCACCAAACATCTCATTGTCGAATTTCAACTTATTGTCGAACTCCCATCTACCCTCGATTCCTAACATCCGTTCCCCCCCGGAAAAAAAACCAACCACCTCAACCAAAAAACACAATTCAACCCCCAAAAATCACACCCTCATAAACCCCATCCATCCCATCCAACATCAGAGCAAACCAGGACCCGTAACCACGAATACCAATTCTTGTTGTTGTTGTGCTCGTCGTTCCGAGATTCTTCTTATCCAACGTGTAGAATATATATACGTATTACGTAATAGTTTTATATAGTACTTCCAGATTTTGAGAGTATTGTGATTCCGGGATTACTAGTAGATGACCAATTCTCATTCCCTTGTCTTGTACATACATATCTTGAACACCTGCAATGTACAGTAAAATCGCAAAACCAAACGAAGCAAACCCAACCAGCCAGCCCAGCAAGAAAGAAAAAAATCCATGGTATCATCACACCTATCTATCGCATCATAACATTAAAGAGTTTCTCATCCGTACTAAAAACCTAAGCTTTCCTCTTCTTCCCCTCCGATTTATCCTTCTTATGTTTCTTCCCCTCTTTCTCACTCGTCCCATCCGAACTCCGTCGTCGTTTCTTCTCCTTCCGTGATTCCTTCTCCCCCTCGCCTAGTGCCTCAACATCCCTCGTCGCCTCGCCAACATCGACTTCAGCCTGTAACTGTACTTGGAGGGCGTGGAAATCAACTTCTGGTTCCTTTACCGCGACAACCGTTTCGGATTTTGAGATTTTTGCTTTCTTGGATTTCTTGGGCTGGGGCTCTTCGATGTCCTCGTCGGATTTATCTTTGTGTTTGGTTTCTTTGGAAAGGGACTCGGTTGATTTGGATTTCTTGATTTTTTTAGCCTTCTCCGGGATGTCTTCGTCAGATGTGCGTTTTTTGCCTTTCTTTACAGAAGGTGCTTCCGTCTTTGGTAGGTTCACGGGTGTAGGTTCGGTGTCGACGACGAAGTATGGGTTTGGCTCGACCTCGGGGGCTGGGTTGGACTTCTCCTTGACTTTCTTTTCTGGTGCGGGGCTATCTTCATCATCGCTCTCGCCACTGGATGAAGAACTCGAGTCCGAGTCCAAACTCTCAAGTCCTGGCGCATCTTCCATCTCGCTATCTCCATCACTGTCAAATGCCTCATTGGTTGTGGCTCCTATCGCATTCGCACCGTTACCAGCAGCATCCGTTGTAAGGCCAGCACGAAGAGCTTCGACTTGGGGATATAGCGGAACGTAGTTGATACCCGTAACACCCAGACCTTTCTTATCTCTTAAATGATGTTCCGGAACCTGGTGGAATAAATCAGTAAATGCGCAACCAGTTATACCCCGCGCAGGCGCAAAATGAACTCACCAAACCATGCGAAGCCTCTCGCGCATTACATAGCGTATCCCTCGCGCGATCCAATAATCCACAAATCTTCCCCCAATTCCCCTCCTCGCCTTTCTCCCACTTAATCCTCTCCTCAACAGGTAAACCACTCATATAACTCCGCAGATGTTGCGCTACTCGATCGAGGGCCTTAACATGACTTTCCAACACACCCAGATGCTTCTTAAACAACGCCGTCCACTTAACATGACTGAGTGCCTCCTTAGCTCTCTCTGGCGCCGTCGTAATAACCAAGTTATCAAAATCAATCTGTGGTATCGCTGCGGGTGCGCCCTTTCCCTTTCCCTTACCCAATTTCTTGAGGTCCCCATGGCGAAGCTTTGGCGTGGTTCCAGGTGGGAGGGCGGCTTCACGGGCAGCGAGTTTGGCGGCTTTGATTGCGGTTTTGGCGGCATTTCGCTTGGCTCGGTCGAGCGACGAGATCTTTTTGGTTTTGACGTTACCCATTGTGAGTGCGATTGAGATTTCGGTTTGGTGTGTGATGTTGAGTTGCGATGAATCTGAAGCTTGGGTGAGTTCGAGAAAATTATTTGGGTTGCGGAGGTTAGTGCGAGGCTGGGGAACTCTAAAACTTTTTGCGAAAGAAGGCTGGCTGGCCGAGGTTAGGCCGACACCAATCAGCTTCACCCCCAGCTGAATATAGTTAAGCTTATTCTTGCTATTTGCGACGTCCTACTAGATAGCTCATCTGGTTGAATAGCCACTGCTCCTTTAATAGGCTACTCAGCAGTGAATGCTTTCAAGGCCAGACTACCTAGGGAACAATTGAAGTCATACAGAGGTTCCAAAACCTCATATTCGTATTCACCATATCATTTCCCTCACTAGTTCACCAAGGTCCACCCTACTCATCCTCGCATCACATCAACATAATCATAAAGGCAAGGAGAAAAAGTCCGTATGTCATTAAAGGGTATAAATATTAAAAAGATCCCACAACATTTCTTTGCAGCAGCATCTTCATGTATGCATGCATCATCGTAGATATTTCATTGTTGACTCCATCGCTATGCAAATTCCAATTTTTCCAGGACTCTCAAAACACGACCGAAAGATAACAATTACCCTGATTAGAAAGCCAACTTGGCCATTCCAAATTCTAGCAGACCCCGATTCTGAACACCCGGCGCCGGCGACGTGTTGGGAGTGGGGACGGTAGTGGTTGTGGTGTTCAAGTTTCCAATCTCACACCAGCCGTTTACATCCTGTTATTGGGTTAGCATCGATACGAGAGAGGAGATCATGAAAACTTACAATACAGGTGAAATAGTGACACCAGCTACAAGTAGATCTCTTGTCGGTTGGCTTGTAAAAGTTATCCATCAAGAGAATGAAGACAACCAAGACGAAAACCAGCGCAGCAACACGAACAAGCCACCAAGCCCACCAAGCAGGCTTTCGACCTTTGAAGAATCCAACAGGTGCTTTAGCAAACTTCATGGTTCCGGAATTCAAATGATCATCGCTTTTAGCGACTGGTGTATACGGTGGTTCCTGACCAATGCGACTTTGCAAGACAGCGGGAGAATGCAAAATACAGATACCCAGAGTAATTCCCATCAAAAAGCCGCCAATGTGGGAAAAGTTGTCCAAGCCGGGAAGTAGCCCGAGAGCAAACGAGATTAAAACATCAAGCATAATGAATGCCAAGTCCTTCCAAGGCGACACACGCTGTTGCCAGTGATAAAGCAAATCGAGAAGTATCAAAGCCAAAATACCAAACAAAGCTCCAGATGCACCAGTCGAGGGTATCATGGGACCAGCAAAGTTACCTCCTAGAACGAATCCAAAGATTCCACTGGCCATGTAAACTAAAAAGTATCGAATTGGACCAATCATTATTTCCATTTCCTTTCCAAGAGTCATCTGAAGTAGCATGTTGAAACCGATGTGAATGATTCCGGCGTGTAGGAATATTGGAGTGATGAATCGGAACCACTGATTTGGTGCAGGGGTTGGATCAGCGCCTTTGCCAACCTGTGGCAACCATTCTGTCTTAAAGCCCATGCCGCACAGCTGTTGCAAATTACAGGTTTCTCCAGCTGTTGTTGATTTTCCCCGTGATACTCCCGTCTTTTCGATAGTATCTGGACATGGAAATGATATTTCCTCACTGGAATCTTGCAGTCCTTTAACATTATGCATGCATAATGGGTATCTCGCTCCCATATTGATTGTGACATAAGGCGATGGACCAATCATAGGATTGATTTGGGGATGGATCATGATAGGTGAACCTGTGAGTTGTGCTAGAGAAAAGTAAGTATTTGGATAAGATGGACGACTGAGACTTATGACCCTCTACACTTACCATTTTTTACAATTTCAACGATAAAAACCACGACCTGTATGAGAGTGAAAATATAGGTGACGAATGCAATCTTCTTTCTTTTCTTGAGAATATTAAATCGGCCGTCCCGGGCGCCATCTTCGAGGTTATTCGTGTTTCTACGCGCGGGGTTATTCGGATCCCCTGCATCGTATACATGATCTGTGTCGTAAACATGGTCGGTACCTGCTTTTGGAGGAACCGCTGGCTTCTGATTTTGTAATGGAATATTGTCCTGGAAAGAGGCATTTGATGGTTGTCTTCCACCACCTCCTTGGCCATAATATGCTGTATCATCCCCTATCGAGCTGTGACTACTTAATCTCTGCGGACCCATAGGATATACATGGTCGTCGAAGGGTGCTTCAAAGGGTGAGACGGGCGAGGGTTCGTGTGGTTTTGTTGATTGCGTTCGCGACGGTGGCTGCGAGGCGTATGAGGGGGGGAAGGGTGATGACGTCTGCTGAGGATATGGGCAAGGAGCTTGAGGAGCGTTGTTTGGGTTCGGATTATAGTAGTCGTTGGCCGCCATCTTGAATGTATGGATGGCGATGGATAGGGACTAGTCGGAGTTGGTGTTGTTGGATAAATGAAGGGAGAGCGCAGAAGCTCCAAGACGGAGTCTCCAGGACTTTTGTTTGCTGGCTGGGCGGCTGTGAGTTGGCTGGCTAACCTGGGACCTGGGGCAGAAGGATGATGAAAGTTCCAGGGGTCGAGAAATATCCGAAGAGAGAGCAGAAGAGGTGAGGTGTAGTTGTAGGGATGGCTGGGAACTAGGCCTAATTTTTCAGTAACGAGCGTGGAGGGCGTGCAATCACGAAGCCTTGGAGCTGAAGTAACACGCAAGCTTCGAAGGCTGTGAATCTGTGATGATTCTGGCGGGAGTTGTCAGCCAATCTTGGTTGATGTTGTGGTGAGCACTGTTGGCAGCACCGCCCTGAATGTGGACATGGTTGGGTGGTTGAACGTCACTACGGGCTGGGAACTCAGGGGCTGTGCATGGCGGGTTTCATCTCTTCATTTGCTCCCGCTCAGGAGTCAGTCCACCACACAGAACTCCAGCAGCCCCTCGCAATACGCAATATATACGAGTTCTGTATAGGCAAATACCGTCTAGAATTGGCTAAATAGATGAACGTTTCAGCATAGATAGTTACTATGCCGTGACCAGAAAGTTGTACAACTCGACTTTCTACTTGTGTCACTTCGGAATTTTGGTGGTGGCGGGCAACCCGGTGGCAGTGGAGCTTCATTCTCAAGAGGTGCAGAGAAGAGACGATTCTATTAATAGGATCGTCGCATTTCTCCACAGGGCGTCATTGGAACCGAGATCGCCGTCAGAATTTTCTGGAATTGACTCGTGCTTGGATTTCCATGTAATGAGAACGAGATGTCCACCATACTTTCGGGGAAACTTTGACTTCAATACCCAGACCTTAGGATGATCCTTGACTCATTTCATACGCTTGGTCAACGATCAATCGTAGAAATGAGTCAAATGACTTCGTAAATGCAATGAAATTCCAATCTTTACCTAAATTAAAGAACCGGAATCTTGTCTAGAATAAACCAAATGGAAAAAGTAAATAATAAAGGTCGTTTCTACGTTGGAGTCGGAGAATACCCAGATAAAAAACATCTCTTCCTTCGAGATCTATATACGATTTTAGCGGGAGGTTTCTGAGTTGTCCGGACACTGTTATGAGATTATGTGTAAGGTTAACTTACGTTGAATGGCTTCAAAACTGTCGAATGCGTGAAAGTCATCTCATAATTCTTGAATAAGTACAAGGGGAAGAAAAGGCTGTTGACTCGAGGTATATTTTCTAAACATACTAACAAAACAACCAAACCTCGTCTTTGTAAATACTGAAGGAAAGAATTTCTTTGAAGCAACTGTTTGTATTCTCAGAGATTAACAAGAAGTTTCCCCATTTTCTAAGACCTCAAGTTTACATTTCTCAGAAGTGGTAGAAGTTACTGCCCCGAAACTGCCTGACTGCGTGCCTATATGGGCGAGCAGAGATCCAAACACCAGCAAGCGAGCATCAGCCACAAGTGACGCGTTATGTAAGCAAAAATAAAGTCCGTGCACTTTTAATTGGTTTCGCGTCAAGGGAAAGCGCGAGGCGACGCGATTTCAACGCCAAAAAATCCCCCAGGTGAAGCAACGATCAAATGTTCTGGTGTTGACCTCGCCTTCAATTTTCCATCCCATTCCAACATCAACCCCAACATCCGATACGACACCATGGCAAATTCAGATGTCCCTCGAAAGCGATTCCTCAGTGAAGCAAGCAGTAATGCCCGACCGAATACACCTTCACCAGGCAAGAAGAGGAAGCTACAGCCCATTGCAGAACCAGCAAACAGATTCAAGAGTTCCCAAAATGGACCAAAAGGAAAGGTTGGGTCAAGTCAGCCCAGTCATTTCGAATCGGAAGTTTTGGAGAAAATGACGCAGGATATGGCAGGCTTGAGGAAGAATAATTCGGAGAAAGACCAACAATGGGCACGACCAAGTTTGGCTGGTTTCAACCCGCAGACGGACAATCTGGTATTCCAGCAGATTGAGGTCGAAGATGGACAAATTCATGGAAAGCAAGTTGTCAAGTTATTTGGTGTCACAGAAGTAAATTCCCCTCCATACTTTTGGGAATAGAAATACTGACAAGCTCTCCAGACTGGCCATTCTGTTATGTTACATGTCACCGATTTCCTCCACTACCTTTACGTTGAAGCTCCAATTGGTTTCAAACCACAAGATTGCGAGGGATTTAAAGCGTACCTCGAGACCCAAGTTGGATCACACCAACAAGTCATTCATACCGTTACGATGCTCAACCGGGAAAGTCTATACCATTTCAAAGGCAATCAACAATTCGCATATATCAAAATCACTCTTATTGATCACAAAATGATTAACAAAGTTCGAGGGATTATTGAGAGTTACGGTGCGAACTGGAAAGGCATGTTCAAGCCATTCATGAATGGGGACAGAGCACATATCCAGACTTTTGACAGTATTCCATATGTAATGAGATTTATGATAGATTGTGATGTACTTTCAGCCATCAATGTATGAAGGAATCATGCTGATATGATTAGATTGCAGGAATGTCGTGGGTTGAGGCACCAGCAAAGGCATACAACATGGTTCCGAATTTTGAGTGCCAATCGAATTGTCAAATCGAAGCCGAAATATCCTATCGCGATTTGATGTCTCATAAGCCAGTTGGAGAATGGGCAAAAATGGCACCTCTCAGAATACTTTCTTTCGATATCGAATGCGCGGGTCGCAAAGGCATTTTCCCGGAACCTAATATGGATCCTGTCATCCAGATCGCGAATGTTGTTACTCGATACGGAGAGAAAAAGCCATTTGTTCGGAACGTATTCTGCCTGGACACCACTAGCGTAATTGTCAACACCCAAATTTTCGAATTTGAGCGGGAAGACAAGTTATTGTCGAAATGGAGAGATTTCCTAGAAGAAGTAGATCCAGACATCATTATCGGATACAACATTTGCAATTTCGATTTTCCATACCTACTGGATCGGGCGAGACATCTTAAAGTCAAAGACTTTGATCACTGGACTCGTTTACCAAATGTGAAGTCGGAGGCTAAAGCGTCAAACTTCTCGAGTAAACAGATGGGTAATCGCGATACGAAAGCCACCAACACGAATGGTCGTCTTCAACTAGATCTATTACAGCTTGTCCAAAGGGATCATCAATTGCGAAGTTACACGCTGAATTCCGTTTGTGCCCAGTTTCTTGGTGAACAAAAAGAAGATGTGCATCATACTATGATTACGGAGCTTTTCAATGGAACCCCAGAAAACCGTCGAAGATTGGCAGTATACTGTTTGAAGGATGCCTATCTCCCACAAAGATTGATGGACAAACTCTCGTGCCTGGAGAATTACACGGAGATGGCAAGAGTCACGGGTGTTCCTTTCAACTATCTTTTAGCTCGTGGACAACAAGTCAAGTTCGTCAGTCAGATTTTCCGAAAGGCAAGAGAGCAAAAGTTGGTTATTCCGAATCTCAAGACCGACCCTACGGAAGATCAGTATGATGGTGCAACAGTCATCGAGCCGACTAGAGGATATTATGATGTCCCTATCGCTACTCTTGATTTCGCATCTCTTTATCCCAGTATTATTCAAGCGCATAATCTTTGTTACACTACTCTGCTCAACAATTCCGCCATCGAAACGTTAAAGTTGGTAAAGGATGAGGATTATATCGTGACACCAAATGGTGATAAGTTTTGTACCACCAAACGAAGAAAGGGTCTTTTGTCTCAAATTCTGGAGGAACTTTTGACAGCAAGAAAGCAGGCTAAGCGAGAACTCGCGATTGAGACAGATCCTTTCAAGAAAGCTGTGCTCAATGGTCGTCAACTTGCCTTGAAGGTTAGTGCCAACAGTGTTTATGGATTGACTGGTGCGACGATTGGTAAATTACCATGTTTGCCTATTGCAAGTAGTACCACCAGTTACGGAAGACAGATGATTGAGAAGACGAAAGCAGAAGTTGAAGGAAAGTACACGATAGCAAATGGCTACTCACACGATGCTCAAGTCATTTACGGAGATACCGATTCGGTTATGGTCAAGTTTGGAGTGAAGGACTTGCCAACGGCGATGAAGCTGGGTGAAGAAGCTGCTGCATATGTGTCGGAGAAGTTTCAGAAACCTATCAAGTTGGAGTTTGAGAAAGTCTACTTTCCATATTTGCTTATCAATAAAAAGCGATATGCGGGTTTGTACTGGACGAATCCCGACAAATACGACAAGATGGATACCAAAGGTATCGAAACGGTACGAAGAGATAATTGTCGGCTGGTCCAAAATGTTATTGAGACTGTTTTGAGAATGATCTTGATTGATCAGGATGTCCAGGGCGCCCAGAAGTAAGTACCGAACATCCCTTATTATGACCATAATCTAACATTGGCCTCAGTTACGTCAAAGACACCATCTCAGATCTTCTCCAAAATAAAATCGACATGTCAAAGCTCGTCATCACAAAGGCTCTTTCAAAAGTAGAATACGCGGGTAAACAAGCACACGTCGAACTCGCCGAGCGAATGAAGAAACGTGATGCCGGATCCGCACCAACACTAGGAGACCGTGTCGCATACGTGATCATCAAAGGTTCGGCGGGTGCAAAGAACTTTGAACGTTCCGAAGATCCTATCTATGTCCTCGAAAACAATATTCCTGTAGACACCAAATACTATCTGGATAACCAACTCGCCAAACCCCTCGGTCGAATCTTTGAACCTATTCTAGGAGAAACAAAAGCGAACTCCCTATTGGCAGGCGACCACACACGATCCATTTCCGTCGCCGCCCCAACCCTCGGCGGCCTAATGAAATTCGCCAAAAAAACATTCACATGTATGGGCTGCAAGAAGCCTCTCAGCGGTAAAGAGGAGTCCGGCGGTGCCGTATGTAGTAATTGCGCACCCCGAATCGGGGAGCTGTACACAAAAACCCTCAACAAGGTGTCTGACCTGGAAGTTAGGTTCAGCAGGCTGTGGACCCAGTGTCAGCGGTGTCAGGGCAGTATGCATTGTGAGGTTATCTGTAGTAGTAAGGATTGTCCGATTTTCTACATGCGCATGAAGGCCAAGAAGGATGTGGAGGATGCGGGGAAGGAGTTGGGGAGGTTCGATCATGATGTTAATGCTTGGTGAGTTATTGGAGGGAATTTTGAGATGTGGATTGATTTGTGGTGGACGAGATCTGTGAGATGTGGATGCGTGGGTTTGGGGTGTAATGAAGCGAATGGCGTTTTTGGGAGTTGGGGTGGAGGAATGGGCATGGGAATGATGACCCAGCTAGCTTTTGAGTGTATGATATGATATGGAAAGAAATCATGGTCCTTGGTTGGTTCTCTGAAATATGACACCCTTTCTTTCCTGAACGCTATGGGTGCTTGTGCTTGAGTCTCCTGGATCCTCGTTGTGATAGAAATCCCTGCCACTCCCTTCCGCTGGTCTCCATTGATGTGATGAGATATAAAGTCCTGGATTCCCGTAAGGGCAGGTTTCAACCGGGCGGATGATACAGTAGAGTGGGTTGAGAGAGCTGGGTTTCTATAGCGTGATAGAGTAATGTAAGAGTAATATAGCGTCTCTAACAGCAGGATTTTTCACCTGCGCGGCCGAAGCCATATTGTGTCGTTTCAAGTCCTAGAGGATGTATTCGAGGCGTACCCATTAACCACCCTGGCATGTTACCTATTCCTGTTTGGATGTGGTCTTGTGATGATATGGTAGTACCTATAGCTTTCCTTTTGGAGATTGTGAGTCTGGAGTTTCTGTGTTGATAGGAGAATTGATTTCTTGGAGTTTTGGTCGGGAGTGTTTGACTGGATTTGGGGGATGGTGCTGGGTAGGTGGGTTGATTGATTGATTTATTCATACTCGCAGTAGGGCGGCTATGCCGGAGTAGTCTAGCTTCGGTGCAGCTGCCGAAGTGCGCTTTACCGCATTTGGCAAACGCACTTCACTTCATCACTATATAGTGACCAGCAGCCTCCTCCACTGGACGGTCTGGCTTCTAACTACAACTATATACTTAGCGTAAAAGAAGTGCTTTGCTTGATCTTTTTAGAGTATATCAGGTTCCTTGGCTGCCGCTTCTGCTAGCCATCTCATGTCCTTATACCTTCAGTCTCCCCCCAGCGTTCCGCTTCGTCTCTTTGCACTGTACTACAGCTCCTAAATTGCCCAAGGAGTTGCGTCTGTTCCATAAATCTTATTACCTTTATGGGTAGTGTGTGTGTGTGTGTGTCTATTTAACGTCTAGGCGGGCACGTACGCAAGTCACGTGCCCTTCAGTCCCCGTTGGGGCAAAAGACGCCAGGGGGGGGAGGCCCCTGGCTTCCTGTCTAGCTAGCTAGATTATATAAGAGTTTAAAGGCTGTAGCGGGGTTTACATGTACGCTTTAGCTGTTGTTTTGTCCGCTTGAGGAAGTAAAACAGTAGTGCTGCCACCTCTTTGCAGCATGATCCTCCAGCCTGTGATCCTAGCCCCTGTTCGCCGCTGCCTCCGCCTCTGATAATGGAATAAAGTAAATGAGAGAATAGTAAAGAGAAGAGTAAAAGGAAACTAGTAGACTTTTGAGGGCTCCCTTATAAGGTAGGAGAGCTTTGTGTATGTGATATACACACTTCTTGGTAGAACTTGGAGTCTGTAAACCACTTTGCTAGTTTGATAGAGCCCTGGGTAGTTCCAAGTAGCCAAGGGATTGCGATTGATGGGCGTCCTTTGTGTAGCTTCTTACAGTTTAATAGTAGGCAAAAGTAGAAGTGAAGCGGGGATTTTCTTCTTCCGCAAGAGCAGGTTAAGAGAGCGTCCTCGTGGTGGAACCGTGTATGGTAGTCTGCAAAGTCTCCGTGCTGGGAACGGGCTGCAAGGATTCGTCCAAGTGCTCCGCGGTTTATTGAGAGTAGGTCTTTGTTCTTTTCGTACGGGACCATTAGGTCAAGGTAGTGTTGCGGGGCTGTAGTATACCAGAGTTTAGCGGTTGCTCTAGTCGCCTCTGATTTTGCTAGCCGCTTTAGGGACGCTAGAGAACAGATGCTGTCCTGAGAGGCTAGTAGGCTAGCACCCTCCTTTGCGGCCCTGTCAGTGGCCTCGTTGCCAGGCACATTCACATGCCCTGGGACCCACCGGACCTTACCTTTATGGGTAGGTGGGTGGGTTGGAAGATGGTTAGGGGGTACTGTCACGTGATTTGCGTTGGCGACGTCGGGTGCCTGGAGATCAGAGCCATTTCTTATTGAGTTGTTATAAGTAAGAGAGAAAGGGTCCTTTATTATTCTCGACACTCTCGTTTTCCTATATATTGGTCGTGGGTTTGACGGTGACAGCTGAGGTTATGGGACCTCGGAATGTGATACGTATGTCTTGAACGTGCCAACCCTTCACTTGTTCTTGGATCGCCGTGAGGAGGACGATGGTAATTTCGTTGTAATATCTTCCGTGGAACAAAGGGATTTCTCTATTGCTGCTAGGATTACGTTTCCATGGACATATTGCAATTTCCAGAATGATCGGCATTGGGGTTATTTATTGTTCTAATTGATATCGGATAATGAGAAATATCACCCGACAAGGTTCGCACAATTACCGGTATGAATTAGTCCGTAAAATTAATATCGACTGGCCCTAGTAAGTTAAGCTGCTTTTCTTTAACAAAAGCTGAGTTACACGTCCGCCAATCGCCACCATTTTGAATCATAACCACAAAATGGCGCTTGAACCCAAATATTATTATCGCCTATGTTCTTTTGTTCTCTTGCAAGCCAAGAAAACCACCTCCTAACATTGGCCTTTCTGAGGTCCACTAAAGACTCTCCTGGGGCACCGTCAAAGCTCTGACGAATACTTCCCAAGACATGCGTTTGGGCGTATTGGGAACGCCTCGAGCGCCGCTCAACACCAGAGATATGTTCGAGCCACTTGCGGTCATATGGAGAAATGCCACTTCCAAAGTCCAACCAGCGAGTGAAAAATATGGTAATCCCCATTTCACCACAGTCGACGCCGATGACTTCATAATCCAAAGAGCATTCTCGACACTGTCCATTTTCTGGAAGCGGATCAAGGGCAACTAAGATGTTCTTGAGAGTTAATCGAATGGGAGTTTCCAATCCTTCATGAGCGCAGGAACCACCATTAGCGAAGTAACCTTTGTCTGCAAAGTCCTGACAGCAGTCCCGGGGAAGGAGAACACATTGATGCACTCTATAGAGGAAGTTGTTATCCACAATTCTAGCCTCCGTCGAAATTATTATTTTGGGTCCCGTGAAAGCATCTCTCAACCCGGTGAAAAAAAATGCCGAGACAGGTATGCCATGGGAGTTGCCTTGATGATGTCTCTTCATCGCTGCATTGACATGGGAAAAGCCGAAGCGGATTGCAGAGGTACTCATTGGATTGTAATCGTTCCCGACGTCTGCGACGCGATGATATCTCATCCAGCAGGGTCCGTGAGACCACCAGAGCCGTTCGGGCGCTGGATGATGGGGGAGATAGATGTGTGATACTAGGTGTAGTAGAACGCAGCTATGACACACGTAGTGACGAGGGCGGGATTTTGAGAGGAGAATCAGATATTCGAGACGAGTCTCTTTGTCTTGGTGTTGAAGTGTTTCTCTAGCGCTTTTTCCAAGTATGTTGTTGAGAGAGCGAATGGAAAGGGCAAGACATGCTATAGAAGGCGTGGACAAGAATTGCGCGATGAGTAACAATACCTCCATTGGTAGGGATGGCAATCCCTCTTGTGCTTGATTTGGAGTTATTGGTTTAGCTAGCCGGCCAGAAAAGAGGACGGAGACTCCAGCGATGATTTCACTGATTGTTAGCATTGTGAATCTAGGTGTAGAGTTGCAGGAAGAAGTCGAGAAAAGGATGAAATAAGTGAATATAGGATGAATGGTTCAGGCAGGTTTAATACGTAATTGGTGCACTAAAACTTTCCTTACCATCATAATGTGTAATGGTCACGTGAACATACTGTAAAAGAAACGCTAGAGCGTAGCGAATACTTGGTGTGAGAATTGATCAACATCTCTCGAAAGATTCTTTTCTATGTTTTGATTGTAGATTTTATCTTTGTCCGAGTTTGTCAAGCCATTACCTCGTTCAATCAACTAATTCGTTCTTACATACTCTCCCTGCAACTCCCAAATCGGACCAACATACACCTTGCGACCATGAATAAACCAAAACGCCAAGCAAATGATGAGGAATCCACCAAATATAAGTGCAGCATAATTCATTGAAACAGCGTTCACTGGTGTTACCGCAGGCCAAAAGGAAAAGAAAACAGCGAGGAATGTATATATAAGAGCACCAATAGTGATGGGAAAACCCATTTTACCGAGGCGGAAGGGGCCCCATGGAAGCTCGGATTCTGGAGTCGTCAAGCGCTTATGGAGCATCACACAAGCGGCAATGAAGAATGAGGAATAGTAGGCCGCTACAGCAACAGAGAAGAAAGCCTGATCTGATCAGCCATGACACGGTAGTAGGATTAATGGGCTCTTTACCTGAAAGGCTGCTGTAGATCCAACGCTAATGAGTGCCAATAGCATATTGATCCCGATTGACGCATAGTTAGCGTTAAGTGGTAGGCGTGTTTTTGGTTGGACCTGCCATGGTCAGTCGAAATACTAAAATAAACTCCAACGAGCCCAATGATTGCCAACCTTGACTAAGAAGCTCGAAAATGGCAGACCATTTTCTCGAGCGAACGCCCATAAGGTACGGGAAGCAGTTGCAAGAACACTGTTGACTGATAATATATTGACGACGGAAATGACAATTATCTACGTAAGGTCAGCTGTCGATTTCCCGTTTTTTTGGTTTGATATGAGCTTACCAGTGCTGTTGCGATATCAAGACCAAGCGCTGACGAGAATATATCCATAAACGGAAATCCAGTCACTGATGTTGATGCAGCTGCAAAGTCCTGAGTGGCAAAGAGAACCGCAAGGATGATCCCCAAGCCGAAAGCCTATTAGAGTATAAGTATATAGAGCAAGAGTGAGAGTTCAAGGACGCTGATTGGCTGAAATTTACTGGGAATGCATTGGTGACTTACACCGTTGAAGATTGTTGAGAACCATATACTGAAAGGGATCACTACATGAATATCAACAGTCAGTCTACTTATCTGGTAGGTGTTTGAGAGTTTTTTATCATGCGTCGAGCGTAAGGAACAATTCTACCGAGAACGTCACTCACCTGAAGCTGCGTTATCAATTTCCTCAGCGATATGGTCTGCCCCGTCGACGCCTACCCACGATTAGTTCTGGGAGCGTTTTTAGAGTTTTAGTTTCAGATGTCAACTTACCTAGAAAAGCTGACGTTGAGGTTATCCAGCCAACAAAGAATGAGAGGCCCATACTATTCCATCCTCCAAGGTTTTGAAATGTTCCGAATACTTCTGCTGCTGTACGACGCTTGCCCAAGTATGTAAGTGGTATAATAATACCAAAAAACCCAATAATATAAAATATCAAACATATTGTTTCAACTCTTGGTAGAAAACGCCCCAAGTACCCATTGAAAAACAACCCCAGCGCTAAAATGGCATAAAACATTAATGTTGCATGCCAGAGCTTGGGCACATACTCCGCATGGGTTAGAATGATCAGACCTTGGAGAACAGAAGAGCAAACGAAAACTACATCAGCCATGTAAACTTGCCAAGATATCGCAGTCAACCAGCCAGTTAGGTAGCTGAGGAATTTGCGATTCGACTCGGGAGAAAGGACAGCAACCCAGTTGAAGGCTCCTCCAGCGAGTGGAATCATTGAAGAAAGTTCAGCCATGACCAGCGCTTGAAGTATAGAGCCGAACCAGGCCGCGAAGAAACCATATATCAAACCACCCGGTCCACCATTGGTTAAACCAAATTGGATCGAGCTGAGTCAGGTGAGACTTGAGTCAGAAGTAGTTCCATACATGTTTTCAGGGGTTACATACAGTAGAACCACTTCCCACGTGAGCATAATACTCATGTTGAAAGCAATTGAGGAAAGGTATTTGAAGCGACGCTGGAGAAACGTTAGAAGAAGCAAACGGCGTCAACTAAACTACCAAAGTGTCGATATCATGCTCACAGTCAGCTGTTGTTTCTTCCCGAATCGTGCTAATACAGCCTCATCTGCTTTTTTCTGAGTTTCGCGCGCTTCGAGATTGCGTTGTTGACGCGACCGTAGCATCATTTCACCATTCTCAATGTCGACTGTGGCTGTTGTGACAGGCAGAGGGGTCTTTTGCGATGCCATAGTTGCCAGTTCAAATGTTCTCATGACTAATGATTAAGGAAGGACGTGAAAGAATAATGTGCTCGAAGAATAGGAAGTGTAAATGTCAGAAACTTTCGACGTAATAGATGGGTTACGAAGGGGTTTATCAGGAAATCCACGTGGAGTCCATGTGATCACCATGAGCTGAGTAATTCCAATTTAGTAACACTAGTATTATTGTACGCTCCGATTCTGCTTTTAGAAGAATGACTGGAAAGATTCACACTCAGTGGAGTGGATTCTTAACTCGCTAGAGCCCTTCGTGGTGCTGAAAAGGCCTAGCAATAGACATTAGGATTCCCAGAACTTGCAACGAGCAATCCTCGCGTGTCGGAAGTCCTACCTCTTCATATCAGATATCGACAAAAAGAGAAGGTAGGAGCTGTTTCGAATTTCCCAGAGAAAAGGTGGTGTATGAACCTTCAGTGGTATCACCACATACGAGCGCACCGGCAAGAGGCGGGGACGCATTCGGAGAAGAACGATAGCTTCTTTCGGCCGTACTACATACGTTACGGGAGTTTTCAAAATGAGTGGCACGAACTACTCCAACAAGTGTCACGTAGATGTAGGTATGCGCTGGATTCTCCGGGTTACACTGCATGAACTTGTTTTATTGTTACAATCATCGTGTGCCTAGATCCTGTCTGGATGTAGAACAGATACAAAAACTAGGCATCCTTCCTCTTTACCCTTGTTCTCTTTTCTGAGATACACTGATGCCATTGCATTGGAATCCATCTCATGTAATGCTCTGGTCGTATTAAGGAAACAACAAGGCAAGCAGAAAATCCTACAACCAGTGCATCAAAATATGCCAGGGAAGATAGGACTTCTGCTAAGATTGTTGTTACACTAGTGCAATCGTTAATCTTGAACTGTGTTATAATCCCACGGAGGGCCATTGTTCCGGCTCATCTAGCTTATATATCGCAAACTCAGATCAAAATAGTTGATATACTGTCGTTTATGATTTCCCAATGCCCCTCTATCCTAAGATTCGATGTTTTTGATCCTATCACGAGTATTAGCAAACTCACCGTCACTTTCCACATACTTTTGCAAGGATGATATCACTGACAAACAACCGAGGCCCTATACTCAACGTTGCTATGTGGGTCATGCTTGTACCAACAGCAATGATGGTGATGGTCAAAATATATACCAAATTTCACACTGTGAAGACAATCAAGGCAGATGATGTTTTCATCAATATGGCTTTTGTATGTTACTGTAGCCGCTCTGGAATATCGCATGAAATCCTGAGTAATTTACCTCTCACAAGCTAATGCGTGTTTAGCTCACTGCAATTGCGCAGTCAATTGCTATAACTCAGGAGGTCAAGTTTGGCCTCGGACAAAAAAGGAATGTAGTGGATAGCGGAAATTTGAACAAACTTCTGATAGTGAGTGTGCTTCCTTTTTCTATCCCAGTGAAAAACTTCTTGAATGTAGCCTCGTCTCGCTTAATTATCGGGATACTCAAACATTGCTAACTTACTGTTCAGGCCCAGTATATGTCCAATGTGTTCTATGCTATAAGTATTTATACAGCGAAAATCTCTACAGCCTTCTTTTTCAAAACTCTCTGCAAAGATAATACTTCAAGAAAGGTTGTTAAAAGCACAATATGGGCGTTAGCAATCTGGCTCTTAGTTAGTGTAGTCACACTCCTCGCTCAATGCCATCTCCCCCGTCCTTGGGATAGTTTTGGTAAAACGTGTATCAACTTGGTACGTAATTTCCATATCATCCTTCCTGTGCTGGAAAAACTTCCCCTGTCATTTTGAACAACACCTGGTGTTTGTGCTGATTTTGAGTCCAGAAAGCATTTTGGACTGTTAGCCTGGCTGTGGATGTTACCACACAGGTCATCCTAGCGTTTTTACCAACATACCTCCTAAGTGGACTCCAAATTTCCAACAAATCGAATAAATGGCTTGTAATCGCTGTCTTCATTCCGAACCTGTTGTAAGTTCTGACAATCCCTACACTAAACAAATCTTGGAGAAGCTAAATAATCACGACAGCGTTATGCCTCTGGCTGTATTCAGACTACTCTTCCTTTTTCATGCCATGAATAGTGAAGACTTCACATGGGAATCTTTCCACTTCGGCATCTTTACCAGTTTCCATCCCTTCGTTGCAATAATGGTCACCTCTCTTCCATTCATCAAGCCCGTCCTGGACAGTCTCATTCTCCAACCATACCTAATCGCAGTCGAAGAACCCCAATCAATCATTCCCGGTTATTCCAAAGGGGTTTCATGGGCACAACGCATGCTCAATAGTGGCTCAGCTCGGTCTCAAAAGGTTCTTAAGGGCTCCAATTCTACTGGGGGTCGGAATGATAGCTCCTTACACTGGCCATATACTCAGCGACAAGAAGAGGACTCGATAGATCCCGCTAATCAGCAGCAATTCAAATTGGGAGATTATAGGGTGAAGGTGGAGGGAGACAGAAATAGTACTGGGGACCCAGAGGCGAATAGAATCGAGACAGCGGGGAGAATGGTGATACGGCAGACGAAAACTGCTACCATTGAGACCAAATAGTCGTACTTTTGGCTTAATTTTCTCTTTGGCAATCCATTGACGGGTACATCTTAGTAAGAGCTGGTATATTTGCACTAATCAAATGCTCAATCAATTCTCTCTTGGCCCTGAGTTATGGAGGGATTTTTCTATTCCTCTTGTGTATCGACATATGGTAAAGATCATCCACTAGAGCGCCCTAAAGTATATTGAAGATCTGTCACTCCAATGAATTCCTTTGGATGATTTGGGGGACCGAATTCCCAAAGAAGAAAGGGAATCTCAAGGATTAGCAGAATAGCACCACAAGGCACAGAGTAGTGCTATAGTTGGCCAATTCTCCATTTGGTGAATACAACACTTAAGATCTTGTAAGAATTTTCCTGAACTAACATCAAATGGCACAGAATAATAGCGGGGTAAGAAAGAGGTCAGAGAGAAAGGCACGGCAGTGGTCAAGGTACGACAGTAAGATGGATGCAACCGTAAGATGAGTACAACAGTGAGATAGATGCAACATCAGGATGGCTTCGATCGTGAGAGCAAAAGAGTGAAATAAGGCGGGTAAGACAGATCGGGTGAACTTGAATAACTAGGGCAAACATATAGTAGTATGGATAGTAGCGAATATTCAATACCATACATGTCTGTCTTTATTGATAAATGGGTTTTTGAGTAACACAACAGGGGACTAATAGCCAGTTCGTCCTTCCTCGGCACTTCGCAAGGTCCCTTCCGGCAATGTCCGTTCTGTGATACTCACAAATTTAATCCCAAAATCTGCTTCCAATTCACCACACAAATTGAACTCAACCCAATCGCCACATTGAGTGTTTTTGAACCTCGAAGCGAGTTATCTACTCCCTTTCTCTAACCACAACCCCCCCTTTTCCTCTGAATTTTCCATCGTCCAAATTTCAGCTCCTACCCATGGTGTGCTTCCATCTGGACAGCTCATATATCTCCCTAGTCCAGTTGCGGGATCAAACGCGTCTTCAGGATTCTTGTAACAAGCAGAGTGCTTTTTGACCCACTCATCCATCTTCCGCCAATCTCGACAAGCTCTTAATTGTCCAATTCCAGAAGCAGGGGTTTTAAAATGGCCTCCGGTAAAGCGTGGAGTGTCATCAGCGTTGCATATGATGTCCTCTCGAATTGCGATCAAGCAGTGGTCTACATGTATAGGATGTACCGATTGCAATGCTCCCGTGCGGTACTCGGTGATAGCCTGGCGGACCATTTGTAGACAATGCATTTGGTGGTGTCCTTGGAGAAAGTAAATTCCTTTTGAGAAGTCCCAGGGCCAGCGCTGGGCTGGTGGAAGACCCATTGCGGTTACGTACTCGTCTGAGAGGGCAACGTTTCCGAGGTCGCTATTGTACAAAGTATCATTCCATTCTTCTTCAGTGAGCGCGAGGCTCTGATTGATCTCAACAAATGGAAAACGTTTGTCGAACTTTAACTCCGCTGTCAGGGTGTTATCAGCATAATGAGTGGGAAAAGGGAATTGGGTGTATACCATATTTTGAAACAAACTTCTCATGGGCAATGTATGTTGGTTTCAACAACCCAAGAAGGAGCCATATGGCGTTTAAAGATATCGAGACTGTGAAAATGCTTGCCCAAAACCAGGAAACCCTGGCCCGTTTCCGTAGGGGTAGACTATTGTTGACTTGTGGGTTCAGAAGACCCTTCCCGTCAAGAAACCCTTCAATTCCCCCACTTTCATCGAAACTTGATTTGGTCGTTGTAGACATAGATTCTTTTTGAGCAATAACTCAGCAAATTACTTGAGTATGAGATGAAGTAGTATGATAAGGAATGTGGTTGTATAAGCTTGAGTGGAAAGATGAACTTCAAGGAGGGGTTTGATCAGGTGTGTACGTCACTAACCAGGATATTTCAATGTTATGTTAAGAAAACACCCTAGTCATGTATGATGGACTAGCATACTCGTACTCAGGGACTATTTGGGGAACCTGAACTCTCAGTTAGCTTCCTATGTAATACTACTACTTCTTGATCCAATGACACTTCATCTCACATAATATCGCTACGTTGGTATTGTGTGGCCATTCTTGTCAGGTTAAGGCAACTAATCTTTCTTCATGTTCATAGGTTGTGTTGCATGTAGGATACCACACGTTACCATTTGGAAGATCTTTCCATTACCCGCTCGATATGCATGCAGAAATATTGCTGCTGCCTCCAGGCTGTGTCACGCAACTCAACATCGCAGCGTCAACCAGAAACCACATATAATCCTCAACACACTACGTCCTCATCGCACTTGGGGTTCTATTTCAGATTTTACCTTTTGTCTCATATTGGTCAATTTGCGGTACCTCTGTCCAATAAGTCTACTTTCTGCGATCAAATTCGTCTCCCGTTCTAAATTGCATCCCAGAAACACTTAATCGCTGAAGGCTTCTCAATCATCAGCATTTGCCTCGTGAGTTGTGAAACCTTTTGAATCCAGCGTAAATCTTACATTGATCCAAGGATCCATAGACCAACCTTCCTACTTAAGAGAGCTTGGTGTAACGTATTGCGTCTCAAATGGGCCACTGCATAAGGATCGAGATCTGCACATCGAAGGATTATAGGTAGGACCGAATTCAATATGATCTACTCATAATGCAGTATCATGTGCCTCACTCCTCTCCTTGTTGAATCACCAGTGGAAAGAAAGAATCCGTATCAACATATAAGCACGAAATTCTGAGAAGTGAAGTAAGCGCCCTGATGCCTCCGTCACAAATGCTTGTTGCCCATGGTGGCATCGATATGAGAACACGTTGCCGTGGTGTCACTAGGCACGACATGCATAAACCCGCTAGCACATATAAACAGTGGTTTACTCAACATTTTGATTGGACATGTAGCTTCTTCCAGTCTTTCATCATCCGTCAATCTGTATGCACACCAAGTCTCGCTTAATTATTACTAGGGGATCGTACCACCGAATGCCGGTATTGATAAATCTGAATGAAGTACGACATAGAACAGCATATTAGACAAAGATTGAGAAAAAAAGGATTTCATTAAGCAATGTCAAAGTTTCAAGGCATATTTCCCATGGCCTTTCCATAAAGTGGTTACAAACCCCCACTCCCTCAGAATCCATCAAGAATGGACTTGTCAGCTAGGGCTCAAGAGTCCCCAGACACTAGAATTACCCCATCATAGCACCCTCTTTAGCAAACTGAGCCTCAGATTCCGGATACGCGTTCTGGACGTGATTCTCCTCCGCAGCGTACATTCGTGGTGCTATCATCTCCTCATCCTTAGCAACCTGCGCCTCAGATTTGGGATAAGCATCCATTTTGTGATCCTCCTCTGCAACGTACATTCGTGGTGACATCTTCGCGTTCTCATGCTCCTTTGTAATTTGGGCCTCAGACTTTGGATACGCATTATTGCGGTGACTCTCTTCCACGGTGTATATGCCCGGCATCAACATCGCATCCCCCTTTTCTGGACAGAATGTTGTTAGATTGATACTCCATCGAGGATTCGCTACTACTTACTGTCAACAGGGATAGCGAGGGTGGTTGAGGCAACCGCCAACAAGAGAAGCATGTTTGTGAATGGCTTCATATTGAAAGTGTGATGAGGACTTTTGCTTGTTTGGTTGTTTGATAAAGTGAAGATTGGTCTTTGACTTTGACTTTTTGGTCTGCTCCTTTGGGCTTCAATCAATCTTATAGAAATAAGTGGTCGAGATAGAAGATTTACTTCCCTCATACATTTTCCTTATCTGGCTGGGTACATGGAATATAGTAGCACAAAACCTCAAGTAGTTATACAACAGTGTTGAAATATGTCTGACGGCTTCAAGTATGGATACCGGTTTTTGACAGATGCAGGCATCCATCAAGGCATCAGGCACGACCATCCGTCACAACACTCTCGTAGTACGAACAGGATATATTTTCTCTTCCGAAAGCATGTGGCTCAATCGATTCCTGGCCACCGAGTCGTTTCCAGTCGCCCGTGGAGATATTAAGAGGTGGAGATTCCTTTCGCCTCTCTATGAGAGTAGTCTGTTTCATGATATTGAAATATTTGGACAATTTAGACAAGTATGTCAACCACTTGATATTGATGAATTGCCTAATTTCCAGATCTTGAAGCATAGCATAAGTAAAAAGCCAACTTAAATCCCACCTTCACGCATCCAATCAACACCTCCAGCATACCCAATCGTTCCGCAAATCCAAGCACCGTCCCGCTACAGTAGAAGGTTCAATCATTACTCAGTTCCCGGCGCCTCAGTCAGCAGAATTGCAACCACACACACATGCACAAAGTATTTACCCATAGTTGCACATTCACAGGCTTGTCCTTCACAGATTCAATATAGATACAGTAGTGAAGGATGACTATCTATTACGTGAATAGAAAATATTTCCATGTCACTCTTCCAGTCCACCAGGAGCCGGTGATGAATTACCCCGATATTACCCTCGCCCATTCTTACAAATCTCATAAGGTGGGGTGATGGTAGCATATTACACAGATTGGTGTTGATCGTCCTTGCGTCTCGATGTCTTTTGGGGGTCTAGTACGAGGGAGTGCAAAAGTATGTGCTTATCATGTACTTATTCGAAGACTTTCTGACTAATATATATACAACTTATTGGTTCAATGTATATGAGTTCTCTGCATTGCTGAAGATTCGGAGTCGATAAGGAGAGGTGACGTTGCTGATAACTACGGAGTTCTGCATCTGGTGGTGGGAAATTCTAGCTCCCGCGCACATCCAATTCAACATCTCCTTGAAAAGTCACTCAAAGTCATATGTTTGTCCCGTAGGTGTGTCTTAGATGAGAGTCATGCGACACCTTGGAAGCAATTGTATTTGAGCTGGTCTTGAAAAATATCTATCTATCTACAAGCCAGTCTTGAGATCTTAATAATACCATGCCATTTATAAAAAGCGATGCCATTTGTAAAATGCGAACACTGTGACCTCAACGATTTGTCTTCAATGGGCCCCGTCGGAATTTCAATGGTAGTGATGCACCGGCAGGGACGGAGAAGAAGGTCTCGAGCTGTGTCATGTCGGGATCGCCAATGATTGTTGTCTCGTAACGAGAATAAATCTCGATGACGAATCTCTTCATTGCTGTATAAAAGTATCAGTACAACAAAGGAAGAAAGATGAAGGCAGTCGATACGTACCAATGACAGCCAAGTGTTCTCCAATACAAATGCGTGGTCCGCTCATGAACATCCATACCCAGCGCTGCATTTGTCGTTTCTTGTCTGAGTCAACTCCGACCCATCTACCAGGCAACCAAAAGTCAGGATTGGGAAACATAGCAGCGTTGCGGCCAAGCATGAATGGCGATGCACTAGCAATAGTTCCTTTGGGAATGGCGAATCCATGTACTGTTGAGTTCTCTGATGCTACACGAGGAAATGGTCCATAACCAGCGGGGTACATGCGGTAGGTCTCCAAAAGCACAGCGTCTAACAATTCAGAGCTATAGGGGTCGTTGAGGGAGGCTAATTCACGTCTGAGTCTGGTTTGAATGTCGATGTTTCTGGACAACTCCCACATGAGGTAGGTGAGCATAGTTCCCGTGGCCACATGGCCGGCATGGAGTTGATCGCCCATGTCAGATGCAATCAGTCTTGTTTTTTCCTCCGCTGTGACGTTACCAAGCTTTTGCCATACGTCTTTCAATATTCCAGTGTCACCCTTCACTTCAGTTTCGCCATTTTTGAAAGAATCAATTGTGCGGGTTGTGATGTCCCATAAGAAGGAGCTGATGGTTTCATACGCCATATCCACGGAAGGGGGGACCAGATCGATACCTAAACGCTTGAAGGAAGTCACCAGCGAGTGCAAATCTGTAATGGCGAAGAATGCCAAACGCTCAGCGTACTGTTGGAATGCAGTTAGGTGATGCGCAGCATTGTCGTGATTCTCCAGCCAGTTTGTTCCGTTCTCCTTGCCATAAAGATAACCAGTGACAACATCCATGCTGTATTCTCTCGTCAGAGAAAACACTTCCACGTCATCGCCGTTATCGGATGCTTGCCGCAACCTAGGTAACAGTCTGGCGGTTAAGATGGATTGAAGAAGATCGTTGAGTTTGGCGGAGTTGACAATTGTAGATTTGGAGAAGACATGAGTGAAGAGTCGCTTTCTTTCCGCGTGAGACTTTCCCTGGCGTATCGCGAAGAGTGGTGAGAACCTCCAATGTCAGCTTTTTCTTGTGTATTGACGGGTGATGGCATCTTACCCGAAGTATGTGAACTTGTCGTACATGCTTGACTTATCCCAGTTACCACCATACACAGTGCGGACCCCGTCAACGTGATTGATACTGATCTCATTAGGACCGATTCTGATGATAGGGCCGAGTGTGCGATGAGCCTCAAGGCATTTGGTGAACTCCTCGCCAGTTGCTCGGATCCAAAGAAGCCAGAGTCTAGAGAAAGGTGTGCTGAAATGAGCATTTGTTATGGCGTGAAGTTGACCATTAGTAGGTTGTCGCGCACTTTCGTAAATCCAGAGGACCAATTTTAGGGCCGCAGCGATCGCTGCAGCCAACACGATATCAGAAACCATCATCGTTTCCTTGCAATTTGTGTGCGGAAACTTGTTGGTTTGATAGGTCGCAGTTGGAAGTTACAAAAAAAAAAAGAGAGATCAAAGTTTGTCGGACAGTCGACATGCAATCTGTATTTTTCCGAAGCTGCTCCGAGATACTGTACCCAACTGCGACGCTAGTCTCCGATCTAGCATGAGGTGGTTACACAAAGAAGTGGGTCACTCGGTTACGCTAAAGGGGTTGTTTACCTGTTACTAGGTAGATAACAAAAGCTACAGTGTCTTGGGTTGCACTTTAATAATAGGGTGTTGAAATATGGATAAAACGCAAACAAAAACATGTCGCTTAATTTACATAGCTACTCGTACCTACTTATATTCACTAAGCGTTACTTTATCTAGTGAATATTCGTTCGTGAATGATTTATAAGATACCTTAACTTTACTCTATAAGTTATATACTATATAAAAAGCGATTATACGAAACTTCTAGTATAAGTTATAGGTAATTGTTCGAGGCCTTTTGCTGGGCAAGTGGTTTGGGAGAATTTGCGTAAAACTGCCATGTGCTGTCGAGGTGACAGCTGTATAATTTTGTCTGTTTCGTGCGTTGTGAAACCATGGTTCTTGGAAGAGTACAATGTCTGCTTTGACTTGGACAGCTATTTCTAGCGCGTTTTCCATGGCTTCTGATGTAGTGTTGGCATTAAAAGAGATGATTCTGATCGGGCTTTCTATCATTGGGATTCTGTGATAGCATCGGTGGTAGTGTGTACGCAGGCTCCGCCTTGAGCTTCGCACTGACGACATTTGTGTTGCGAGCTTTGGTGTTGTTGGGAGCAGAATATACACTTTGGAGGGGTTTTACAGTATTTAAGAGGGTGCCCGTCTTCCTGGCATCTAGTACACTGCATTTTCCTCGACGTGTTCCGGAGGTGCTCAACTCTAGCG